CAAAGAATATAAGCTTCGAGCTGGAGGATAGAAAGACAGATCCGGAGGGGAGATTCTTGTTTTTAAAAGGTAAACTACAAGGAATCGAGTGCATATTAGCCAATATATATTGTCCTAATAAGAAGCCGGAGATGTTTTTGAAGGGTGCGTTGCAAAAACTGATGGACTTTAAAAAAGGCTGTTTGATAGTAGCGGGAGATTTCAATTTCTGTATGGACCCACAAAAGAATGCTACCTCTTCTGTGCAGAGGGAGGGGGGTAGGTCTCTGAGAGTTTTGAAAAAGGTGATTCATGAGTACCAACTGGTAGACATCTGGAGAATTATGCATATGAATGATAGAGACTATACCTTCTTCTCAAATGCACATGAGATATATTCGAGATTGGATTATATATTATAGTAGACCACCAACTTATTGAATTTCTGGTTAAAGTAGAAATAGAAGCAAGGACACTCTCGGATCACGCACCTGTTATAATGAAAATGGGATGGGGAAGGCGGTGGACAGGAGGTTTAGGATGGAAGTTAAATGAGGCGCTTCTTCTGGATAAGGATACTGCTCAGAAGATTGGGGAAGAGATTAAGCTATATTTTAAGGAGAACGAGACCGAGGAAGTGTTGATAGCTACAGTGTGGGAGAGCCATAAGGTATATATAAGAGGAATCTTGATTGCGATTAGAACAAAAAAGAAAAAAGAGAGAAAATTAGTGGGCTTTTAAAAGAAATATTTGACCTGGAACAGATATACAAGAATAAAATAACAAAAGAAAGAAGGCAGAAGTTAATAATTAAGAAAGAAGAAAAAAAGACATTGATGGAAGAGGAGAGGAGAAGAGTATATAATAAAGTATTAAGTGAGAGATACAGATGGGGAGATAGACCAGGAAAATATTTAATGAGAGCCCTGAGTAAAAAGAAAAACAGGAATTATATAGATAAAAATAAAAAGCCCCAAGGGGGAGTCGATTCATTCAACTAAAGAGATTATTAAAGTGTTTACGGAGTACTATAGAAAGCTGTACAATATTAGTTCCCAAGTTTCTTCAAAAGACACTAAAGAGGTGAACATTGAAAAAAGGAAGATATTTCTAAAAAAATGTGGGCCTGCCAAAATTAAGCGTAACACAATTGAACTCCCTGGATGCAGAAATTACCCAGGAAGAAATAAAAGCAGCACTAAAAAGTACAGGAGCAGGGAAAAGACCAGGACCAGACGGTTATACCGTGAGGTACTATAAAAGATATACTGAATTATTATTACCTAAGTTGAAGAAATATATGAATGCCTTGGGAAGTGGGATGGAGATGAGGAGAGAATCTTTACAGACCATGTAGTTCTTATTCACAAGGAAGGAAAAGATGCTTCTCAGTGCTCCAGCTGTAGACCAATTTCATTACTGAACACTGATACTAAGCTGTACGCAAAGGTTTTAGCAAATAGGTTGAAAGATCTAATGCCTGAATGGATACATGGGGATCAGGTGGGCTTTGTCCCAGGGAGGGAGGGTAGAGATAACTGTTGAGAACTCTGATGCTCATTCAGAAAAGCAGAAAAGGAAAAGCTCCGGTGGTAGTGCTGTCAATCGATGCCGAGAAGGCATTCGATAGAGTTGACTGGGGCTTTATGATGGAGACCCTGGAAGCCCTGGGGATTGGAGAGAAAATGCGAGAGTGGATAGGAAAATTATATAGGGAGCCCACCGCAATTATTACGGTAAATGGGGAGAGGTCGAAACCCATTGGGATGTCAAATGGAACAAGACAGGGTTGCCCACTGTCCCCTTTGTTGTACGTTCTGTCATTGGAACCCCTGTTGTCAAGAATAAGGAATAGTAGGGATGTAAAAGGAATTCAGAGAGAAACTACAGAACATAAAGTAGCAGCCTTTGCGGATGACTTGTTGCTGTATGTGGGGAACCCCAGGATAACACTTCCAAACTTAATGAAGGTACTGAAGGAATATGGAGAAACTATCAAACTTAAAAATTAACCCAACAAAAACTGAGATTCTGAATATTAATATACGAAAGGGTGAAAAAGAAAAAATACAAAAGGAATTTCCCTTTATATGGAGAGAAAGAGATATAAAATATCTAGGAATAAAACTCACTGCTTCACATAAGTATTTGTATAAACTAAACTATATTTCAATGTTACATGAGATCAAGGAGGAATTAAAAACATTAGAAGGAGGAAACCCGTCATGGATAGGACACATAAACCTGATAAAAATGGTAATTGTACCCAAAATACTGTATAGATTTCAAACAATTCCAATCAAACTCCCAGAAGCTTTTTTTAGGACAATGAAAGAATGATAACAAGATATATATATGGAGAAATAAAAAAAACAAGAATATCCTATGAATCGTTAAGCAGGAGTAAAGAGAAGTGTGGATTGGGATTCCCAGATGTTAAAAGATATTACAAAGCAGTAATTTTAACAAGAATCTATGATTGGACATATAATTCAAAAGGGAAAAGTTGGGTGAAAATTGAGAATGAACTTAGTGGAACTAGTTTGAGTAAGGTTATATGGGTGCCCAGCACAGTATAGAGGAATTAAAAGTAGTACAAGTTTTTACACTTTAAATGTTTTAAGGGTATGGGATAATTTGCACAAAAATATGAAGTGGGACTTCAATTCTATATTAATACCACTAGGAAACACCGAGTTTTTCCCTCAGGGCAGAGAAGAAATAACAGGGAAATGGTTTAAAAAGGAAGATGTTCAATTGAGAGATATATCGGGGCAGGGGAATTGGGATCACTTAAAGATTTGGAAAAGAAAAAGGGATAGATGAGTGGAGATATCATCAATTAAAATGTTTTATTGGGAATCTCCCGAAACCTTTGAGATTAACCATTAGCCGCCCGGCCTATAGCCGTTTGGCGATGGCAAAAATGCTTCACCATTCCGGGAGCACGCCATTTGGCATGCTCCCGCACATGCGCAGTTCGCGCGGTTGCAGAGCCGCGCAGCGGCGCGATCTGTCACCGTACGTGTACCTCGGACACGGCCGATGACAGATCTGAGTACCGGCACCCGTTGCTGGTACCATGTGACCTGCTGTGACCAATCTCAGCAGGTCACATGACAGTTGTATACAATGGATGGCTTCATTCATGCCATCCATTGTATACTAGTGCCTAGCTGTGAATGGTCACAGCAGGTCACATGCACATGTCATGTTATTAGCTGTGGCCAAATCACAGCTAAGCACAAAAAAAAAAACTGAATGAATCGATTTCATTCTGGTAAATGCTTGCTTATAGCAAAGTAATTCTTTGCTATAAGCAAATTGTGTAAAAAAAAAAAATACTGATCACTTCCCCAAAGTAGTACAATGTAGCAGAATACATCTCGGCCTAAATTTATGAAGAACACTTATTTACAAACTTTTATAACAGAAACAAAGAAAAACATGTTTTATTTCAAAAATTTTCGGTCTTTTTTTGTTATTTAGCAAAAAATAAAAACCCCAGCGGTGATTAAATACCACCAAAAGAAAGCTCTAGTTGTGTGAAGAAAAATATAAAATTTTAGTTTGGGTACAACGTTGTATGACCGCGCAATTGTCATTCAAAGTGTGAGAGCGCTGAAACGTGAAAAATGGCCTGGGCAGGAAGATGTAAAATTGTCCGGTATTGAATTGGTTAAAAAAGGATTGGAATTTGTTTGAAAGGATGTTGGAGTCACGAGGGGATGGGAAGCACAGTACAGCTAAAGTATATAGAATACTCACTGAATTAGACACGAACCACAAAGTTAATTTATATAACTAAATGGGAAAGAGATATGGGGGTGGTTTTAGATGAGGATAAACAGAAAAAGATATATAGATTGACTCACGAGAATATAAGTATGAGAGAGGTGGAAATAAATTATAAGTGTTTGACAAGATGGCACATCACACCGAATGTTGAGCACAGGATGAGTGTGGAGAATTCAAAGTGGTGCTGGAGGGGATGTGGAGAGATTGGCACAGTGTTTCACATATGGTGGGAATGTCCGAAAATTCAAGTTTTTTGGAAGTTAATAGTTAAATTGATTAAGATAATAACTGGGATTGACATAGGGTTGGATCCAATGATTTGTCTATTACATAGCATTGAGCTATCGGTAAATAAAAATACAAAGAATCAGGTATATGGTACTATCTTAATGCTGCAAAAGGCTTGATACCCAAGTTTTGGTGAAAAACAGAGGTGCCGAAGGAGGAAGACTGGGTTAATAGAGTGAATCAGATCAATAGGATGGAAAAGCTTTATCATATGCAGGAAGACAAGATGGGGTTATATTATGCGAAATGGGAAAAATCTGGATTGAGAGTGAAATATAGGAAGTTATAACTTAGAATGATAGATAAGGTTCTCTTGCTTTAATAGAAAAGAGTGGGGGAGAAGGCAGAGGGGAAGGAGGGGGGTGGGGTTGGGGGGAGTGGGGGGGAGGAGGGAGGGAAGAGGTTTAGAGAGGAAAATGTAGAATGGTTTTAGATATTTAAAATGTGTTTATGATGGAATTTTGTGACATTATGAAAAATCAATAAATATTTAAATTCAAAAAAAAAAAAAAGAGGGGCTTATGTGAGTATTAGGGGGGTATGCTGCACAGAGGTTTTTTACCTTCATGCATAGAGTGCTATGGAACCACTTTAACAAACCATCACATGTGTTTTATTATACCCATGTGAAAGAGCCCTAGTGACAAAAAATATTTTTTTGTTTTTTTTTTATTTTATTTTCGACCTCGTACACACATTCATGCATAAAACACGATGGAAAAAAACATGTAGATTTGACATGCAGAAGATTTTATATATGTTGACATATGCATTTTTTATGTACATTTTCACAATATATCCTGTGACATCACTTCCTCTTCCCTTTTGTGGACTGAGATATAAACTGTGAGTTTTGGGTCATATATGAATGTAAGGGAAGACCCAGCAAAAAGTAGAATGAAAGTATGGGGTTCCCCCTTAGTATCCATACCAAACCAGGGGCAGACTGACCATTTAGAAACTCGGGCGCTGCCCAAGGGCCCGGGGTCAGTAGGGGGCACCATGAGATACCCCTGGTACCTTTTTCATAGGCTTTTTTGAGTTTGGGCAAGGACACAGGGGCCCCATGATCCCCTATTGCCCAGGGGGCCCCATGACTTGTCAGTCCGCCCCTGTACCAAACCTTCATCCAGGATTAGGATCTGATATGAATAGGAAGAGGAATCCGGGTAAAAACATAAAAAAAAAGTAGGGTTCCCCCAAAATATTAACCATGGACCCTTATCTGAGCACACAGGAGAACAAGTGTGCTGCCTCCCTCCCAAACCAAGCCGAGCCAGTGTCCTCAACATGGGGACCCCCGTGGCAAAGAATCTTGCAGCCTTGTTGATGAGGACAATGGCCTCTTCTCCACAGCCCTGGCCTAGTGGATGGGGGGGGGGTCTACAAGTGGGGGGGGGGGTTATCGGAATTTGGAAGGTCCCTTTAACATAAGAGAACCTCCAGATATCTGCCCACTGTGTAAAGAACCCCTCAGTTACTCCCCCAAAAAAGATTAAAAAAATCCACAAATACTCCTTAGGCACCATTCACACCCAGGGGCGGACTGACAACTCATGGGGCCCCCGGGCAATAGGGGATCATGGGGCCCCTGTGTCCTTACCCAAACTCAAAAAAGCCTATGAAAAAGGTACCAGGGGCATCTCATGGGGCCCCCTACTGACCCCCCCGGGCCCTCGGGCAGTGCCCAAATTTCCAAATGGTCAGTCCGCCCCTGTTCACACCTTTTCATCATCACGCTTAGGGCAGCCCGTTCGCTTAGTTAGGATGCAATATGCGTGAAAATCACACCAAAAGGAGAGCATTTTTTTAAAAATCTCACAGCAGAAAAACGCCTGCTACATTGTTGGCGTGTTTTGGCAGCAACTTTTCATGCACGTTAGCGCCTGTGAAATAAAAAAAACTGCACGTTTGGGAGGTATATGAATTTGCTTGTGTTCATTTAAACCCTCAGCATTCACAAGCCCCATTATGTGATTTCATTTCAGCTTTGTAAACATCCGATTGTATTATAATAACAGACAATAACACAGACAATACATGTTGTGCACACAGATCGGTGTACTGGGGACTCCCAGCCTGACAGTGATCAGAATGTCTCTGCTGTGGCTCCTGTCAATGTCACTGTCTAGCTCCGCCCAACTCTCAAGGTCTGCTCTCTGCTGCCACCTGTGGCCATTCATGAAACACACACACTACCAGTGCAATCAGATCCCCTGGCCGCCATGGGCTGCGAGGATCGGGATGTCAGCGAGGTAGACCCGGAGGTGCTGGAGCTGGAAGGACTGGACCGGACCCCCCTTCCAGAGAGGAATGGATGCATCCAGAAAGGCACATGGGAGGCCGACGGGCAGAGCGGAGCACTCCGAGAAGAGGGGGGGACGGGGGATCCAGGTGACCAGAGCCTTGTCACCTCTGACTGTCCCCGAGCTGTGGTCAGTCCGGAGGAGAAGAGCCGCTGTCCGCACTTGTCCTGTGTCCGACTGATGGTGACCGAGGAGGAGAGCGGTAAGAAGTTCGCTCCTTTCTATCCGGGGATTAGTGACACTTCTATATAACGATCCCTTCTCCTATCATATGTGACGTCATCATGGAGGACATCCCTGGCCATACACTGGTCACCATGGTACCTCCACTGTCATCACCTGTATCACCCCACGGGCACGTCACCTCACACTATGCTATGGAACGAAACACTATACAATGTAACAAAACTCCATGTAACAGAAGAATGCATAGAATGAAAAACGAAACACCATACAATGTTACATCATATACAATGTAATACTAAACACCATACAATGTAACATCATATACAATGTAATACTAAACACCATACAATGTAACATCATATACAATGTAATACTAAACACCATACAATGTTACATCATATACAATGTAATACTAAACACCATACAATGTAACATCATATACAATGTAATACTAAACACCATACAATGTAACATCATATACAATGTAATACTAAACACCATACAATGTAACATCATATACAATGTAATACTAAACCATACAATGTAACATATACAATGTAATACTAAACACCATACAATGTAACATCATATACAATGTAATACTAAACACCATACAATGTAACATCATATACAATGTAATACTAAACACCATACAGTGTAACATCATATATAACGTAATACTAAACACCATACAATGTAAACATACAATGTAATATAAACACCATACAATGTAATAACTAATAAACACCATACAATGTAACATCATATACAATGTAATACTAAACACCATACAATGTAACATATACAATGTAATACTAAACACCATACAATGTAACATCATATACAATGTAATACTAAACACCATACAATGTAACATCATATACAATGTAATACTAAACACCATACAGTGTAACATCATATATAACGTAATACTAAGCACCATACAATGTAACATCATATATAACGTAATACTAAACACCATACAATGTAACATCATATATAACGTAATACTAAACACCATACAATGTAACATCATATACAATGTAATACTAAACACCATACAATGTAACATATACAATGTAATACTAAACACCATACAATGTAACATCATATACAATGTAATACTAAACACCATACAATGTAACATCATATACAATGTAATACTAAACACCATACAGTGTAACATCATATACAATGTAATACTAAACACCATACAATGTAACATCATATACAATGTAATACTAAACACCATACAGTGTAACATCATATATAATAATACTAAGCACCATACAATGTAACATCATATATAACGTAATACTAAACACCATACAGTGTAACAATCATATATAAACGTAATACTAAACACCATAACATCATATACAATGTAATACTAAACACCATACAATGTAACATCATATACAATGTAATACTAAACACCATACAATGTAACATATATAACGTAATACTAAACACCATACAGTGTAACATCATATACAATGTAATACTAAACAGTATACAGTGTAACAAAATCCCTATATGATGTAAGACTAAACACTATATAATGTAGCAAAATACTATACAATGTAAAACTAAACACAATGTAACTAAATACTAAACAATGTGAAACAAAACACTATACCATTTAACAAAATTCTATAAAATGTAAAATTAAACACTATACCAGTGGTCTCCAAACTGCTGCCCTTTGCTTGCCTTTATCCGACCCTTGGGGCACTATTTCATTCACCAACAATTGGGCACTGTTCCTGCCAATGACACCAGCAATGGGGCACAGTTCTTGCCAATGACACCAGCAATGGGGCACTATTCCTACCAATGACACCAATGATGGGGCACTATTCCTACCAATGACACCAATGATGGGGCACTATTCCTACCAATGACACCAACAGTGGGGCCCAATACCACCAACGATGGGACACAGTTCCTCCCAATGACACCAAGGATCGGGCATTGTTTCTCCAACTGATGCTGGGACATTTTCTACTACCCGGTGGCCACATTGCAGCCCCTCTAAAGTCTGAAGGACAGTAAACTGGCTCTTTGTTTAAAAAGTTTGGAAACCCCTGCACTATACAAATGTAACACAACACATACAATGTAAAACTAAACAGTATACAATGTAACAAAATTCTATACAATGTAAAACAAAACACTACAATGTAAAACTAAACACTATAAAGGGTATCCAAACTCAATGCAATGTAACTAAATACTTAACAATGTGAAACAAAACACTATACAATGTCACAAAATTCTATACAATGTAAAACGTGTTTCAGGTTTGAGTATTTTCTATAAAATAAAGAGAAGTTGCAGCACTAAACACAAAAATATTGAATAATGTCAATAAATAAATACCATCAAGTGCGAAAAAATAAAATTCACATAAAACATAAAATAATATACATAAGTCCTTTTGTGGAATGCGATAAACTGAATTGAATAGTCTCAATGTACACTGTATAATAAATCTTCACCCAGTGATCCAGGAACAACAGACGTGTCACCTCCACCAATGGCTAGAATGGAAACCAATGGCCAGAAGATGCTGCTGTTTAGAAAAACAGCAATAGCACTTGTGTGATAATAAATTCCCAAGGTACAATCATTCAGTGTATCAGGAAACTTGATAGTCCTCCTCTATCCCGCTTCACCAGATGTCAGTACATGCACTTTCATCATAAGGTGCCACCAGACACTCGTAATGGCGGCACGACCTCCAGCAATAACGTCTAACAACACAACGCAGTTTTGCATGACAGCACATCCTCGGGGGTTCATAAACTAACAAATAACAGCGGCCATCAATATGTAGCCCATCTATACAGACAGACAGTCTATACAGCCCATCTATACTCACCGTCTGTATAGATGGGCTACATATTGATGGTCGTTGTTATTTGTCAAAACAGTGAATTGGCCCTAACTAAGCTCCTGTACTTTTTTGAGTATTTTGTGACAAGCTGTGCAATGTTCAGGGGTAATGTGCCCATTGAGAATAATAAGATTTATCTATTCTCCATTCTCAACTGAGCGTATTGTTGTGCATTATTTAACATAGCGCTACCCCCACAGGGGTCGGTGATTCTCACTGGTTATTTCCCAGATGGCTCACAGGCTACCAAGCTCCCATGCAACAGTTCAGGCAAACAATCTAGAGGTTGTCATTTTGTAATTTACTGCTTGTAGAACTTGGGGCGGGAGAGGGATTGGGGACATGGAATACCCAAAAACGTGCAGCTCAAAGCAGTTGGAGGACATTCTTCTCCTTAAGCATGTTAAACAATCTAGAACCTCCATAGCTGAAGACCATGAGGAAATTTTCTGAATGGGTTGGAAACTAAATACATTTTCCCCAGTGCAAATACAACTGTTAGATGGAACCAGTCTATGAAGAATTATTTTTCCATGAATAATTCATCACAGACTGGTTCCATCTAACAGTTGTGTTTGCGATGGGGACAATTTATTTGGTTTTCTTCCATCTAGTCTCCTTTTGTATTTTACTCCTGCAGCACCTCCTCATACTAACAAGGTCAAGTTGACACAAGACTAATCCCATCATGTAAGAACCTCTAGGAGGACTAGCCAACAGA